ACAAGAGACAGCAAAAAAAAATTAAGTGAGCGAGATGAGAGGAATGAGAGAAATATGTAGCAATTCCAACAACAAAACAACTAGCACAGGGTCGCTATTATCTTGCTATGCTATTTTGCAAAATATATACATGGGTTTCGACGTTGCATATTTTGCAGCGATAGGAAATGTTGTTTCCCATGAATTTTCTTGTTGTGTGTTTGCAATTTATGCAATCCGTGCAATCCGTGCTACGTGCAATGGCTTTGCAAGATTTGGAGAATACCCCTATTGTGTTTTATTTGGTGGGGGTTAGTGGGACGTTCGCTGGACTCTGGAGCGGCTGAGCATACCTCAGCCTTTGACAAAACCCACCTCATAATTTTCTGGCCGCCATTTCGACTTCTGATCAAACCGCTTACGTTGTGTATGATAAAATCGCCTCATTCGCAACGGAATTAGAACGCGAGAGAAAAAAATCGAAGAAAACCAAACGCTTTTACTTTGTGAGCCGGAAGAAAACCAAAATTCTTTGCTTGAACGAGTCATGTTTGCATGGTATGTGGCGAAATGGGAAAAGTAGGTTTGAAGAATGTTTGACAAGCCACTTGTGTGATGTATTTCGCTCTTTAAAAAACTTCGGAAAGCTTTTTGTTCAAAAATTTGCAGAGCGAATTAACAACTCTCTTGTGTAAAACATGGCTGCATTTGTTATCAACAAATATATCGAGAGAAAATTCCTCAAAATAAAAAGCATCAAAAAATACTCAAGCGCACCCGAAATTCCTCACGTTCTGAGGAACTTCTCACAAAGTGGCAAAACTGACCCAGCTACAACATTTTCCAAACAATTTCTGATATCAGACAAGTCGGAATAAAAAGTTGACTATTTGGGCAAGTCTTACATGTGTCGTACAGATTTCTGGCGAAATGTCTGGAGAATTTTATTTATCGCCTTATCTTATATGTCTGATCGAATTATGTCCGATTTCGGGCATACACGTCTAATAATTGTTATTTCTCGTGATTATTTGTTCAGACATCTGTTAGATATCCGTTAGAATCGTCAGTAATTAAGTCCCACGTCGTGTCGGTTAGACTTCCTGTCAACCTCTCCATATACTTCTCTGACCGATATCGGCCAAAATCATACAGATTTCTGACTTTTTTCCGACGAGTTTGACGGATATCTAACAGATTTCTGACAATTTAGCTAGCTGTGTACATATTGGCACCTAAAGGTGAAAAGGTGCCAAGTCCACTTTTTTTGATGTGTATACATCTTTGGTTCCGGTAGGGGTAAAATTTGCGAAGCTGTAACGCATATCCCAGCAGAAAATTTCGAAAGGCTAGCATGTGTATTTCAGCATAAAATTTTTAATTTCATTAGAAGCACCCTGTGCTTACTTGCTATTGTAAATGTTTGCATACATTTAGGCATATGCGTAGTAAGAGGAAATGCGGTACAATCGATTAGTACTTCCGCACATGCATACGGCTTTGTACCTATGTATGTACATACTAGTCTGGCAAAGCGCTAGATCCGCCCTACAAATTCAGAACTGTCTCTGAACTACTTCAAAAGGGATACAGAGTTGGACGGTTGAAACTCATATGTTGCTAGTAGCGCTGTCATCAATGTTACTCATCCTGGTCATGTGAAAGCTGACAAAAGATGCACAAATATACCATACTATAGTATTTTTACGATTTTCTTAGAGCCTAGAACTAATAACAAACTATTTTCGATTATTTAATAGTATGTAATTCTCTAGTTTATGGGACAACTGCTAAAATATTTCCAAAAAAGTCGTTATTGGTAACATTAATGTAACTTTTATACATTTATACGTACGTATAAAATTGAATTCAAAATATAACCATACATTTTAGTTAACCATTTCTTTTTTAAGTAGTCACAGTATATTGAGAGTTAAAATTTGTTTTTTATTATTTTATAAGAATATGGTCATGCGTGTTTTAAAACTTTATACAAAACAAAGTTAAATTAAACGATTTTTCATCAAAACTTTTGATTTTTTAATCAGATAAATAAAATAAACAATAGTGGTAAACAATCCCACTTTCAAATGGGGGTGCTATTGATATGAACGATACTGTATGCACATACGTAGATATACCACTGAGCACCCGAAATGTGTAGGTATGCAGTGATTTTTTGATGTGTATATATCTTTGGTTTCGGTAGGGGTAAAATTTGCGAAGCTGTAAAGCATATCCCAGCAGAAAATTTCGAAGGGCTAGCATGTGTATTTCAGCATAAAATTTTTAATTTCCTTAGAAGCACCCTGTGCTTACTTGCTATTGTAAATGATTGCATACATTTAGGCATATGCATAGTAAGAGGAAATGCGGTACAATCGATTATTACTTCCGATTATGAAAACTCCGCACATGCATACGGCTTTGTACCTATGTATGTACATACTAGTCTGGCAAAGCGCTAGTTCCGCCTTACAAATTCAGAACTGTCTCTGAACTACTTCAAAAGGGATACAGAGTTGGACGGTTGAAACTCATATGTTGCTAGTTGCGCTGTCATCAATGTTACTCATCCTGGTCATGTGAAAGCTGACAAAAGATGCACAAATATACCATACTATAGTATTTTTTCGATTTTCTTAGACCCTAGAACTAATAACAAACTGTTTTCGATTATTTAATAATATGTAATTCTCTAGTTTATGGGGCAACTGCTAAAAATTGAATTCAAAATATAACCATAAAGTTTAGTTAAGTTACACTTAACAGCAAAAGTCTGCGTAGACCATTTCTTTTTTAAGTAGTCACAGTATATTGAGAGTTAAAATTTGTTTTTTATTATTTTATAAGAATATGGTCATGCGTGTTTTTAAACTTTATACAAAACAAAGTTAAATTTAACGATTTTTCATCAAAACTTTTGATTTTTTAATCAGAAAAAAAAATAAACAATAGTGGTAAACAATCCCACTTTCAAATGGGGGTGCTATTGATATGAACGATACTGTAGTACATACGTAAATATATCACTGAGCACCCGAAATGTGTAGTTATGCAGTGATTTTTTTTTTAATTTCCAATGTTTTTCATTTTAAATATTTGTCGTTAAGTTTTTATTTAAGTAGTATGTCTCATACTTCATAAACCATTAAAATTCAAATTCCTAACTGTGCTGCAAACTTGATAGAACTCTAAAAACTGTTCTCATTTTCGTTGTTGGTGATTCGAAATTACCCTGCAGGCAAAATTACCGGTTCTTGACATATCACATACCGGTCACATGGAGAATATACCGGTCTTAGTTCCGGTTCTTATATATGAAAACGAGCGTCAACTTTAACACGGGGTTGTCATTGGAGGTGACCAATTTCCACCACATAGAGACTTCTGGGGCAGAACTGTGATAATTTGAGTGAACCTCTCCTTTGACAGGTCCTTTTATACCGGTTTTGTGATTGGTATAAAAGAGAAGATTACGGTGCCAGTTACGAGCATCTACATACCTCATCCCATAGAAACTCTGATTTCTCCAAACATTTTATATGCAACCCTTTATTTGTACCATTGCGCTAGCTTTAGAATGTACACAAGTTTGATTAAATTCTCAAAATTAACTCAGTTTCATAAACATCTCAAGACTGAATGTTATATATACATATGTATATACAGGGTGTCCAAAACTCCGCATTTTATTTTTGAAGGTGAAAAGAATTCGAAATTTGGAGTCGAAGGTTCATTTGAACTTTACTGTATAACGCCTCCTAATCCAATTATTTGTTGAGCAAACACAGCTTTGTCGTTCGCTCTCAACTTAAACGTTTGCAATTAAAAAATATTTGAAAATTTAAATAAACTTTCCACTCCAAATCTCTTTTCATCCTTAAAAATAAAGTGCGGAGGTTTGGGACATCCTGAATACATACACTCGCTCCATTTAACCTGTATTCACCCTTGTTTTTTTTTTAAATATTCACAATATTTTGCAAGCTATATTTTTTTTTATATATATTTTTTTTTAAATATGACCTATGTTGTAAACAAAACCATATAAATCAAAGTTTCAAACTGTATACAAAATTAAGGAAATTTTATCGAATTTTCATTGAAATTTTAAACGTTTCACTCACATTTTTTAAAAAATTTCTGGTATGCAGTTTTATAGCCTATTTAATTTTAGTATAGCAATGTACAAATTTTAAGTGGCTTTAAAATAGCATTGATTTTTAATATTTTTTGTGCGACAGCTCTTAGCATTTAACTCCATACAAGATATGAGCGATTTTTTTTTTTATGGAAGAAAATACGTAAAGCTGCCAGAAAACAAATTATTAAAATTCAACGCGATTTTGAAGCCACTTAAAATTTGTACATTGTTATACTAAAATTAAATAGGCTATAAAACTGCATACCAGAAATTTTTAAAAATGTGAGTGAAACGTTTAAAATTTTTATGAAAATTCGATAAATTTTCCTTAATTTTGTATACAGTTTGAAACTTTGATCTATATGGTTTTGTTTACAGCATGTGCCATATTTAAAAAACATATATAAAAAAATATAGCTTGCATAATATTGTGAATATTTAAAAAAAAAAACAAGTATGTATGCAGGTTTAGTGGGTGAAAAAATACATTTTTGAAAAAAAAAAAACTTAACATAACTCATTAAATTAAATAAAATTTAAGAATTCCAATAAATATTTTAAGTAAGATTAAAATTGTATGTTGACGTCAGTTAAGATATTACACGAACCACTTGCATACAACTAATTATGAAAGAATTTGAAATACAAAAATTCATTTTTAAATTTACATACCCATGGAACTTTAATATTTGGTAACCTTACTAAATAAGTCACTCACAAAATAATGAATACACAGTGATTTTTTTACAATATTAAAAAAATGTAATGGAATAAAATAAAAAAAAATAAAATAATATTTTCGAACTTGTCAAAATATAAAAAAAAATCAACAAATTTTCATCAAATATTTCAAACGCTTAAACAGAATTTTTAGTGTTTAATTTTATAGGTACGCAGTTTTATAGCCCATTCAATTTCATTACGAAAAAGTCCAAGGTAAGGTAGCTCAAACTCACGTTGTTTTTTAGTACTTCTTTTTTGCTGAGGGATCGAGTTTTTTCTTCCATATAACCAATTACAAACTTTTTTTATATGGAAGGAAATGCTTAACTCTGTCACCAAAAAAGGTTAAAGGGGCTATAAACTGAGTACCTACGAAATGAAAAATTAAAAACTCTGGTAAAACAGTTTGATATAATTTCAATAACTATTGTAAAAAATTCACTCCATGCTTTCTTTTGTAAGTGACAGTATAAGATTACTTTAATTGTCACTTTGGTTTCGTTTACTTATAAGTATTTTTTTCAAATAGCGCTTTTTCGACAGATGGATTGCCCTTCGAATCTTCTCCTCAGCCTCTTCTACACCATATAACGTTGAAACAGCATCTTAAAATAAATAAATATAAGTACACATAACATTGCAAAATTTACTTTAACAAACCTTTGACGACTTTATACAGCTTGAAGTCCTTCAACCGCTTCTTTCCATGACTACCGTCCGTGATGTACTCATAAATGAATTCCGGCTCGGAAATCAAGTCAATGTTTTTCTGTAAATTATTGGCAATAATTTGTTTCACTATATTTACCTACAAAATACAAAACAAAAAATTAATATTAAGGAACAAAAGTGACAGCGGTCAAAATAGTAGCAGCCCAACAATATTTCGATAATAATTTGTTTTATTTAATTTTATTTAAGTTTTTATAAAAGAATTGTTTGTTCTTTAACAAAAACCAAATAAATTCAGGTTTCAAACTTTGTGCAAAATTTAAAAACCTTGAAATTTTGATGAAAATTTGTTGAATTGTTTCATATTTTGCACAAAGTTTGAAATCTGGATTTCTACTGTTTTTGTTAAAGAACGAAAAATTATTGCCGAAATATGTACACTTGTTAAAACATTTACTAAAGTGCTTACATAGCTTTTAGTGTTGGATTCGTCTATATCTTCATCCAATTCTGTGAGCGTGTCGTCGTCTTTTATGGGGAATGCACCCGATATGGTTGAGCTCTCTGTTTCTTGAATTAATAGCTTTTTTGTAAGAATATTTTGTTCAGCTAATGCTTCCATCACAACCGTATTTTGATGTGTGGTCGAATTTGAAAAATCGAAAAAAAAATTTAGTTCTAATTTTTTCATATCATAAAAATTTAAAAAGTGCATACTTTTTAGTTCCTCCGTTACGAATGAATGAAGTTGAGGTATTGAATCTGAAAATATAGAACTAAAAAAGTTTTTTTTTAAATTCTTACAAAGGTTTATATACATACCTTTTATTTCCTGAAATTTCTCATCTATTTTTGTTTCAAATATTTCTTCCAATCTCAAGCAATTCTCACACCGGTGTTCATCTGCAGAAAAATTATAATGAATTTGTAATAAAAGTACATTTTTATTGCCAATATTTACCTTGTGTTTCCACGTTTGCCTTCGTGAGTTTAACGTACTTTGATGGCCGTTTTTCCATTTTTGAAATAAATAAATTATAATGGTTAGTTATTTGTAAATTTAAATAAAAATTAAATTTTTATTGAGTTTAAAAGCAGCCATGTAAGATTGAAATCAAGACAATTTTATCCTGGTGAGGTAAACCTATGCACTTACATCTGATTTGGGATAGAAGAAAACTTTCGTCTATGCTGCTGTGATTTAAATTGATCAAACATATCCCTAAATATTTAAATGAATGTATAGGTTCCTCAAAAAAAGCCGTTGGATTTAAAAGTCGCTTTCCTATTACAAGTTTTTTTTTCTTTATTGAAAGCTGCTATTTGGAAAGGTATATTAGGCTCAATAAAACAATAGTTGTCGGAAAACTCGACGCTACAAATATATTCCTACGTGACTAGCTTTATTCGATTTTGTTGAGTTTGTATATTAGGCTTTTCGCGGGAAACGTTGTTGTAAATTTGTTGCAGTATATGTGTTTGGTTTTTTTAACGTAACTTTTTAAAATTTGCAAGTAATTTTCAGAGTTGTAAGCTGAAAAATTTTGCAGAATTCCGAATTGTTTTGCACAGTGTGTGAGATGCAAAAGGCTGTGCACATTAAAACTCACGTTTTTTTTCTTGAACACTACTGGAAAATTTTGCACAAACAGCTTCAGCATATCCTGACAAAGTTTTATATTTCGCTCGTAGCTTTTTGGGCATGATAACAATCTGCATGAGCAGGGCAGTAGGAGAAATTCATAAAAAAACTCATTATGAATGCTTCCTTTTAGTACTAAAATACCCGTACAGAGCAAAAATTGCCGAAATTCCGTGGCTTTCCAATGCACAATATCTTCGAAGCCACGCGGTCTGCGAGAAAATTCCAATGGAATATATTTTCGAAGGGATTTTAAATCCTTAGAAATATTAAGGATATTCTCTTTTGACACTTTATATTCCGAGTTAATTTTGTTATTTAACAAACGCATCAGAAATTTACTTACCACTCCTAAGTCTACCAAGTGCATACTGTCAAGGGCCAATTGGCTTACCATATTAAGATTAATTTTTTCCAAAGCAGACATTTTGGAACGAAAAGTTTTTTGATGGTGAGATTTTAGCCGCCTTTCCTTAAAATCTTCATCGGAAATCAGTGGGCCTGAATCTATACTGTAAGTTAAAACGTGATCAATTTGCTTCGCTACTTGCGTACATTTGGAACAACCGTAAGAGGATGTGTGCCCAATTGTGCCACATATAAATGAAGTAGCTGGGGCATCGCAAACCACAGCTCTTAATGTAAGGCGAACTGTTTTGTTTTCAGTGCAAATTCCAGTTTGTGATAGGCGAGTCATTTCTTCAACAAAATCAAGTAAATAAACATCTAAATCACTCGGCTTTTGCTTCCCAACATATACTCCAATGGGTAATATAGAAGTTATCTTAAAGTTAACGATTCTAATCAAAATGGGCCATAGCTGCACCCTGGAGCTTCTAAATAGGGCTATTCCATCCACATTAATGTCGAAAACTATTTCATCGCTTTCGGAAAAGTAATTAGATATAGACATTAACTGATTCTCAATACCAAAATGGGAATAGAATCCTGGAGGTACACATCTTATAGTAAAGTTTGCCGTTTTTGGTAAAAGGGTTCTAATGTCACTTGGCACATCGAGATTTTCTTCGGCAAGAATTCCAAGCAAATCATTGCAACACTCTCTACTAGGTCTGTACTTTAGTGCCAATCTTTTAATTTTCACTTTAAATCTTTTGTACACAAACTACTAACCGGCTCCTTCTCTGGTACGAAATTTCCACTTGATTGTAAATTTGATTCCTGCACAAGCGCTTTGTTTGCCAGTGGAGTCTCCAATGTCTCACATGGCGGCTTGTACAGAAGTTTAGACACAAACTCTTTCTTTTTATTACTTACTAACCTTTTTAAGTTACCGCGGCTTCCCAGCATTTTGTTTTAGTTTAATATAAAACGTGTAACACTCGACAACTTTTGTAGAACTCAACAAATTTAATACATACGTAAATCACACAACACTTGAAAATTACTATTTTGGATTCTCGTTTTCGATAAAATGCGTCACTTACTCATCAGCTATTTAAGAGTGTTGCGCCAAACAAATGTTTTATTTGCAACGCCGAACATGAAATTTTGTTCGTCGGCGCATGCTCACTGGTGCAGATATGTACCAAATTCAAGTTCTGCGCGTGATTGTTACGACGTCGTTTTTTTTTATCACGCTGGCGTCGTACTTTTGATGTTCAGTCGGCTTTTTTCGACCGTATTAACGATTGTTGAATGTGACCAGAAATGAATTACCACCACCTGCATCACCAGGAGTGAGTCTAATAGTGGCAACATTTTCTTCTATCAACTGACACGCCGGGAAAAATTGCCACCGCTTGCCTGAAGGGTACATACACTAGCCAATGCCCGCTTGTTTCGCGGCGCTTAGTAAGATCTTTTGCGTTAGCCAATACAAAAAAAAGCGTTTAAAAGTAAAAGCGGCCTGCAAAGTAAATATTTTTAGTTTAAATTGAAATGAATAAAGAGCAGAATCCTCCTCACACGTAGGCCGAGAATAGTAGCGCTGTGATACCATATGGAATACTAATTCCTTTTGATGTCATGAGTTTTACTGATGGTCTTATTTCCACTTGTGAGATCTCTGCCAAGCGTAATATTATTCTCTTCTTCTTCTTCTTTTTTGGCGCTGTAACCGCCTAAGCGATTTTGGCCGAGTTCAGCACAGCACGCCAGTCGTTTCTCCTCTGTGCCAACTGCCGCCAATTGGAAACGCCAAGTGAAGCCAAGTCCTTCTCCACCTGATCTTTCCCTCGGAGTTGGGGCCTCCCTCTTCCTCTGCTACCACCAGCGGGTTCCGAGTTGAATACTTTCAGAGCTGGAGCGTCGGTGTCCATTCGAACGACATGACCAAGCCAGCGGAGCCGCTGTATTTTAATTCGCTGCACTATGTCCATATCGTTGTAAAGCTCATACAGCTCATCGTTCCATCGTCTGCGGTACTCGCCGTCGCCAACGCGTAAAGGACCGTAAATCTTCCGCAAAATCTTTCTCTCAAACACTCCAAGAGCCGCCTCATCGGATGTTGTCATTGTCCATGCTTCTGCGCCATATACCAGCACGGGCATGATGAGTGACTTATAGAGCGTGGTTTTCGTACGTCGAGAGAGGACTTTACTCCTGAATTGCCTACTCAGTCCAAAGTAGCACTTGTTGGCAAGAGTGATTCTACGTTGGATTTCAATGCTGACATTATTATCGGTGTTAATGCTGGTTCCCAAGTAAACGAAATTCTCTACTTTCTCGAAATTGTAACTGTCAACAGTGACGTGGGTGCCAAGGCGCGAATGTGCTGACTGTTTGTTTGATGACAGGAGATACTTCGTCTTGTCCTCGTTTACCACCAGACCCATGCGCTTTGCTTCCCTATCCAACTTGGAAAAGGCAGAACAGACTTCGCGGTTTTTGTTACCGATGATGTCGATGTCATCGGCATAAGCCAGCAATTGCACGCTCTTGTAGTAAATTGTTCCTGAGCGGTTCAGTTCTGCAGCTCTTATTATCTTCTCCAACATCAGATTAAAGAAGTCACATGAAAGGGAGTCGCCCTGTCTGAAACCCCGTTTTGTGGCGAACGGCTCGGAGAGGTCTTTTCCAATTCTGACGGAGCTGGTGGTATTGCTCAACGTCATTTTACACAGCCGTATGAGTTTTGAGGGGATGCCAAATTCAGACATAGCGGCGTATAGGCAACTCCTTTTAGTGCTGTCAAAAGCGGCTTTAAAGTCGACAAATAGGTGGTGAGTGTCGATCCTTTTCTCGCGGGTCTTTTCCAAGATTTGGCGTATTGTGAATACCTGGTCTATGGTGGATTTGCCAGGTCTAAAGCCACACTGATAAGGCCCAATCAGTTCATTGACGGTGGGCTTCAGTCTTTCGCACAATACGCTCGATAAGACCTTGTAACCTATGCTTAGAAGGCTGATCCCGCGGTAGTTGGCGCGAATGGCGGGGTCACCTTTCTTGTGGATTGGGCAGAGCACACTTAAATTCCAGTCGTCGGGCATGCGTTCATCTGACCATATTCTGCACAAGAGTTGATGCATGCACCTTATCAACTCCTCGCCGCCGTACTTGAATAGCTCAGCTGGCAGGCTGTCAGCTCCAGCGGCTTTGTTGTTTTTCAGCCGCGTTATTGCTATACGTACCTCGTCATAGTCAGGCGGTGGAACGTCGACTCCGTCATCATCGACTGCGGGCTTGGGTTCTTCTTCTCCACAACTTTCCGTGCTGCTACCATTTAGTAGGGCGGAAAAGTGTTCCCTCCATAATTTAAGTACGCTCTGGACATCAGTTACTAGGTCGCCATTATTGTTCTTACAGGAGTGCGCCCCGGTCTTTAAACCTTCCGTAAGTCGCCTAACTCTCTGGTAAAATTTTCGGGCATTCCTCCTGTCGGCCAGCATTTCAAGCTCTTCGCACTCACGTATTTCTGCCTCTCTCTTCTTGTTGCGGCAAATACGTCTCGCTTCCCTCTTCAGATCCCTATAGCGGTCCCACATAGCGCGCGTTGCGCCCGATCGCAGCGTGGCCCTGTAGGCGGCATCTTTTTTCTCTGCAGCTTCCTGACACTCCTCATCGTACCAGTTGTTCTTTCGGGCTCGCTGAAATCCGACTACTTCTTCGGCGGCGGTACTTAATGAGCGGGAAATGTGGTTCCACTGCTCGCATATGTCGGTTTGTTGAAGAGTGCTCTCTGAGAGCAGGTGTGAGAGTCGAGTAGCGAAAGCGCTGG